CCAGCGGCTGATTATCGTGGGCGGCTACTGGCATTTACGGAAGTCGTAGCTGCCGTCGAGGCCCGGAAGGAGACAGCAGAGGCAGAACGTCAGCGGCTAGCCAATGAAGCGGCAGCCGAAGCTCAGCGAACGACTGAGACTGACGCAGAGACACGAGACAGACGGAATGCCAGCAGCACGGAGTCCTTGATTGCTTGTGAGCATCAGTGGACGACGATACTCCAAGACATGATCTTTGTACCTACGGAWGCGCAGGCAGACCCGACACCGGCGGAGGCAGAGAGAAGTAACCTGGCTAACTTGCTGCTGGGCATGATGAGAGGTATTATGTGGAATAATACACTGCTGCATTCACATCTACGCACGGACGCGACGCAACGACAAACATACAAGAACGATATGACTGCGTTAACAACTGCTATCCGCACAGAGGCAACGCAGCAGCAGCAACAGCATCATCTATTGAATTCCACTATCACACGCGTCAACAGCATAGAGGCTAACGCCTCAGCAGCGCCAGGCTGCACGACAGACGTGACGAAGCAACTCAACGAGCGCATCGATCACGTCGTCACCATCATCGGCGACATAGTACTTTCAACGGACCAGACTCGATCAGCAGCACGGTGGCCGCCATCAAGACGGACATCACCAAGCTACAGACGAGACGGGAAGCCGCTACAAAGACGTTCAAGATGCCGCACTTCGACATCAGCAAGTTCGACGATTACAACAAGTCGGACGCCTTGTCATGGTGGCAATGCTTCCTCACAGAAGCATCATGCCGCATGGTCCCGGCGGACGACATGTTGAAGGCAGTATATCTGCAGCTGATTGGAGGAGCGCAGGGATGGATGAACCACCTAGCGGCTACACACAAGTGCACTATCGCCGAACTCCACACGCACATTACGTGGAAGGAGTTCGAGCAGCTATGGTTCACCAGATTCATGGTCCGCAACGTCGTGAAGATGGCCATGAACGAGGTCTACACATGCTCTCAAGGGAACATGCCTACGCGAGATTGGGCATCAAAATGGCAGAAGATAGTGACCACGCCAGGCTTCGACTTGACGTTCCCTAATCAACGATCCGAGTTCTTCTCGAGATCGTGCGCAGGATTGCGGTCGGCACTCGACAACGAGTACGACTATACTACGTTCCAGGCCATTCTGGATAGAACGAACTTAGTCATCCAAACGGACGACAAGGCCGCTAACGAGAGGCAATCCCAGCCGCATTATGTGGCTAAACAGGCCTATCAACGTCCGGCACATAACAATGCCGTGTTTTCTGAGGAAATCGACGACCACCACGCTGCGGCATCATCCTCGAGTGATGGAGGAATGGTCGCAGCGCTCCCGCCGAAGCGTCCGAAGAGAGTTCGCAAGAACAAGCCGACACAAGAGACAGCGGCGACGGGAGCTGGGCAGCAGCCATGGACGGCTTATAAGATCACCAAGGAGGTCTATATGACCTTCGTCAAAAGTACGCATACTGCCTATGGTGCAACAGTGTAGTACACACTACCGCACAATCCCCGAACAAGGGCAAGGCACGCGTACCCCGTCCAGCAAACTCGGGAAACTGAGTTACGCCAGGAGAGGGGCGACGTCTCTCGTCACTCCGCCGGACCCGATTGCCTTGCTAGCAATCGATGTCACTACCGGGGAGCATGCGTTAGTCGCTGATCCTCGTGCTACGTACGAGGATTATGCCGCCCAGCTGGTACCACCATTAGACCAGCCTAGCCACGTGCATGTAGATTGCGTATGCGCAACCTATACACCGTCGGCAAGTGATCCGGACAGTTCGCCACTGCTTTCCGAGGATTCGACGGCGTGGTCAAGACTTGAGGAGCTTGACCCGCTCACGAGAGAGGACTTCGCCTAGATGCCTCTACCCTCGACCGGAACCTTGCCAAAGCCGCATTGCAACGCCTTGATGGCAAATCTACGCTTCTACTTGCACACTACAGTACCAGCTCCGTTGAYGGACGACGGGGTAGCGGTTGCCGATCTCCGCTCCTATCTTGCGAAGATCGACCGCGAGCACGCCACCCAAAGGTTCGCCGAAACCGACGCACCTTTGCTCTATATGCGCATCCACATCGCAAAGGCAACCTGTTGTGCCTTGATTGATTGCGGAGCGTCTCGCAACTTCATGAGTCAAGCCTTTATGGCCCGCGCAGGTCTTGGCCCGCGCGTTCGAAGAAAGACGCAACCTACGCAAGTTACACTCGCGGACGGCCGCACGCAAAAGTCAATTGACCGATGCGTTGACGGCGTTCCGGTCTACTTTGCACCACTTGCGTGCGAGCCGGTGTCTTTTGACATCCTCGACACCAAGTTCGACATGATTCTAGGCATGTCTTGGTTGGTTGCGTAGCGCCGATCATCCGGTGAACTTCCATGACCGAACCGTTCACATCCGTGATCGGAACGGAGTGTTAGTCCCATGTACGGTCGCGACCCCTCACACTTCGATTGCTTGTCACGTGGTTTCCGTTGCGAGAATTCGCGACGCCATTGCTCGGAATGACGTCGAGGAGATGGGCCTTGTATTCTTCATGCTCTCCCCTCGCCGGACGGACCAGCTGCGTCACCGCCGGACCCACGCATTTCTCACCTCTTGGACGAGTATAGAGACGTCTTCGAGGCTCCCACCGGAACGGTTCCGGATCGGCCCATACGTCACGGGATCACTTTCGAGGCTGGCGCCGTCCCTCCGCGTGGATGTATCTACCGCATGAGCGAAGAGGAACTCGAGGTGCTTCGCGCACAACTCGATGATCTTCTC